GAATATAAAAAATTATAATTTTGCCTGTGGTTCTGTAAGGGTGTGAAACTTGGTCTCTGACATTAAGGGCAGAACATAGACTGAGGGTGATTGAGGACATGGTGCTGAGGAGAATATTTGGACCGAAGAGAGATGAAGTGACAAGGGGTTGGAGAAAACTGCATAATGATGAGCTTCATAACTTGTACTCTTCTACAATTAGAATGATCAAATCAAGAATGATGAGGTCGTCAGGTCATGTAGCACGAATGGGGGAGATGAGAAATGAATATAGGATATTGGTGGGAAAGTAAGAATGAAAGAGACCCCTGGGAAGGCCAAGGCGTAGGAGGGTGGACAGTGTTAAAATGGATCTTTAAAAGATAGGACTGAATTGTATGGATTGGATTGATCTAGCTCAAGATATGGACAGTGGATGGCTCTTGTGAACACAGTAATGAACTTTCGGGTTCCATGAAATGCCGGAATATTCTTGAGTAGCTGCACAATTGTCAGCTTCTCGAGGAGGGCTCAGCTCCATGAGTGAGTGAGTGAGTGTAGATGCACAGTGACTTCTGGTTCACCTTGTATCTATGTGAGATTTGAGCTCCTCACGTCGGTAACATAGAGCACTGTCTTCTGGGATGTGACGCCTTGTAGTCTGGTAGCAATTTATTGACATTTGAAGAAACTTACTGCCTCTATCATCTCGCTGGCTGCTTGGTACTTCTTCCTGTTTACGTTTCAATCTGAAGATGGACACGCTATATTCTCCCGAAATGTCAGTAAACTTCTACCAAATTAAACGGCGCCACATCCCAGAATACAACATTCATATCGTTATTATTTGTGTTGGCATATTTAACAAATAAAACTCAAAAAAAAATAAACTCAAATTCTGTTCTTGGCATTTCGTTGACTTTGACTGGGTCCTCAGTAAATAATGAACATTCTTACTTTAAATGTGGCATTCACAAACTGTTATCACAGAGGAACAGGATTGAGAAACATGAGAGTATGAGCAGCCTCACAATATGAACTCTCCACTAAACATTATTCAGGATAACAAGTCAAGGAATGATGACCTAGACTGGACATGTAGCAAGCATGGGAGGAATGAAGGCCGTACCATAGCTCAAGAGGTTAGTCGCTGGCTTCCTACCGCGGCGGCCCAGGTTCGAGCCCGGGTCTTGTCGAGTGGGATTTGTGGAGGACAAAGTGGCTGGGGCAGGTTTTCTCCGAGTGTTTCGGTTTCCCCTGCCAATCTTTATTCCACAAAATTCTCCATCATCATAATCACCCGGGGCAGGTACAATTGGTCAGTCAGTGGCCGACGTGTAGAGTGGACACACGCCCCACTATTCGAATTTAAAAAATAAGGGGAGAAATGAGAGTTGCGCCGGAAAATCTGAAGGGAAGTGGCCGCTTTTGAGACTCAAGAATAGATAAGAGAATAACGGTAAAATGGAGCTTAGAGAAGAAGTTGTGTTAATATTCAGTGGCCCCATCTAATTCATGGCAAGTAGAAACTGAGGCCACTTTTCAATACGATAATGAACCTTCGGCTTCCAAAAAGATAGGAATTTCTCGACTAACTGCGGCATCGTTAGACACTCAACTTCTCAAGCAGGACTCTGCTCCAGGCAGTGAAAGGCGGTTTTCAATGTACCTGGGCAAATCTTAATTCCGATAATTTTATTCCACTAAAATATTTTTGTGCCGGTCACGGTAGCCGAGCGGTCTAAGGCATGCACTGTCTTCGCTCGCTCGGAAGCCGGGATCGTGGGCTCGAATCCCACTCAGGACATGGATGTTTGTGTGCGATTTTCTGTGTTTGTCAACGGGTAGAGACCTTGAGACGAGGTGATCACTCGCCCAAGGAGTCCTACCGAATGTGTAAGATCTAGAAAAACCGAAGTGAACGGAGAAGCTCATGGAGGTAGGCCTAAGCCCACTGGGGCTGTAGTGCCAAGGAAAAAAAGAATATATATTTTTGTTGGCATTTGGAACAAACCCCTGATATTGATTCGTTCCATACAGTGGCACTAGGGCGGTGTGGACTGGGAGACAGTAATATGTAGCAGCTGCCATCTGTTACACAATTGCCGAACTTCTTCAATTTGTAAACCCCATTTTGACGTTCGTATTTCACGTAGTTGTTGCGTCACGACTGTGGGAGAACAACAGGAAACCTACAAAAAGCTGCCTCGTGAAAGACTTTCTTTATTGACATTAATAATGAAATGTCTCCAAACTAAACAATATGGCCCCAAAATATATTCTAATATAATTACTAATAGCAGTCTTTTTAATTATGAATTTTTCGTATTGTACTTATTCGAAAAGTCTCGGCTTGGGATGGAGAATTCGAAATCGGCTCTCCCGACCCTGTTTGAGTTTTCTGTGGCTTTACCAAGTTTTGATTCAATCACTTTAATGGTATTTCAAAAGAATAAATTATGAAGCGAAACATAATATACTAATTACTTACTTACCTACTCATGGAGCTGAGCTCTTCTTGAGAAACCACCATTTCTGAAGCTACTCAAGAATTTCCCAGCATTTTATGGAACCCTAAGGTTCATTACCGTATTCATAAGAGCCCTTCACTTGTCCCTATCCTGAGCCAGATCAATACAATCAATACCATACCAACTTATATCTCTAAGATCTATTTTAATATTATGTACCCACCTACGCCTTGGATTTCCCAATGGTCTCTTTCCTTCTGGCTTTCCCACCAATATCCTATATGCATTCCTCTTCTCTCGTTCGTGCTACACGACCTGCCCATCTCATCATCGTTGACTTTATCATTCTAATTATACTTGGAGAAGAGTATTGGTTACAAGGCTCCTCATTATTCAGTTTTCTCCAACCTCCTGTACTACATATACTGCGTATAAGTTAAATATTTCTGACATTCCGTGAATTATAGCAGTACTAGAGTCTATATTCCTTTGTTTATTTTGCTACAAATTCTTATTACAAAATGCTTAAATTTAAGTTACAATTTACTTACAGTTTTATTATCCTTGCATAGAATTGATTAAGAACTGAAGGAATTGGCGAATCTTAGCCATATTTAATAAATTCTCACTTCAGAACTTCTTACAAGATGTTCCATTCTGTAATACTGCGGTCAGTGTATGAGGCTAACCACCCGCCTCCATCCAGTGTCGAGATGAAGAATGGTGGAGCTATACCTCCACTTCCCCATATGTCATTATGGTGTAGTGTTTATTTAATTAAACACAGAAGAAAATTTACTTTTACCATTCCGTAACTTCAGCAGTAATATTCGTAAAATAAATAATTATATATAATTATTCCACGCACAATTCTGCAGTACTTGTTAATTAACTCAAGATTTCAAAGCAACATTAATAATATCAAAATTGTTTCCTTCCTGTGGGAGTTGCTTTTTCATAACAGAATCTTTTATATTGTCACTAAGTTAACCCTTTAAGGTCTTGTGACCAGGATATGTACAACCTGCTTTTAACACAACGAAATTCTGATTTCTTTCCGCAGAGTATATTTGTGTGTTTCGCATGATTCCCGCAATAAACAGCGATTGTTTCCCTAAACAGTATTAACCGACTGATATTTGTAGCGGAGACGTAATATGTTTCCTGTGAGGTATGAACTGTGCTTTAGAAGAAAATTAGAGTGGAAGTGACCAGCAGTCAGACTCTTCCTTTCACTGAAGAGAACTTCAGGACTCGAACACAACAGTTTTCAACGTGCAAAACCAGGCTGAATCTGTCATAAAGAAAATAAAGAAGCTTCCTTCTTAGGAATGTATCCTCTCTCTCTCTCGCTCTCTCTCTCCCTCTCTCAATCTCTCTCTCTCCAACTTGGAGCATAAGCATGCGTGAAATGCTTTCCTTCACTTCAGTCTCTCACTCCTGAGACAGTCGGTAGGATTCCTTGGACGGAGATCAGACTGTTGCCAGCCCGATTGAAAGACAGTTTCAAAAGCCTTCCACTAATCAAATTTTCCTGCTCTTGAGAAAAACTCTTGCTGTTTTATTGCATTTTTCTTACGCGTATCTTAAAGACAAATACAGGACTAGACTCAATGCAGAATATGACTGAGAGTACATGCAAATATTTCTTCCGTGGAATTTCCTTCAAATCATTGTACCAGTCAAAACAAGCAGAGCCATCAGACTGATATTCGATTGTGTCCTCATCGACTGTGAGAAATGTCGATCGTTAGTCTACCACTGCACCTGCTGAAGAGTGCTTCCATTCAAAATTGCGGTAAGCTGCATGCAACTATTGTATTATTCTTATATTAATAACTAACATATAATGCTTTATCTTACGTGGTTAATATAGGCTGAACATTAATCCGAGACGAGTGAATTTCTGGTGTGGCTACCCTGCGAGCATTGCCCGTCAAATGGGATCGAGGGGCGAGTTAGGTCAAAAGCTGCTTTATATTTTTACTATTTCTGAAGTAAACTTAACAATCTTTAAGTCACTACTGATCAGAAACTGAAAATAGCTTTACTGACGTTGTAATAACTTGGAATAATTTGTTCAATCACAACGCGTGAAAGTGATACATTCATTTCGAATTATTTTGTAAGAGCATCCAAGAGATTATGTATTAAAATAATAGCGGTCCGTCGGAAGTAGAAGTTTTGGAAATGCTACCGTGGACCAAACTGTGCAGTCTTCCTATCCATATATAATTCTTAGTGTTTAAGAGGTAATTAAGAGTTCATTCCCCACCCCTCTCTTTCAAAGCACATTTTTGTTTTCCTTGGCACTAAAGCCCCAGTGGGTCTAGGCCTACCACCATGAACCTCTCCGTTCACTTCGGGTTTTCTAGATCTTACACATGCGGTAGGACCCCTTGGGCGGGTGATCAGCTCGTCGCAAGGCTTCTACCTGTACACAAACACAGAGAAACGCACACACACAAATTAAATATCCATGCCTGAGTTGGATTCGAACCCACGATCCCGGTTTCCAAGCGAGCGAAGACAGTACATGCCTTAGCCCACTCAGCTACCGTGACCGGCTCTTCCAGAGCACATACCGGCATGCAAATACATAACGTACTTTGTAAGTAACATCTGATATCTTGTACACGTATCTAATTGTCACTCGGTGACTGTTTATGACAGCCTGAGCATGATCAATGTAATGCATTGTCTTTTGTTTTATTATAACCTATTTAAGTCTTGACATTTTATTAACTTTTATAGGGTATGAATCTGCATTAAATAATTCGTGTATTTCAGCGAAAGTTTTACCCTTTGTCTCCGGCAAATACCATGAAATAAACACTGCACTAATAAAGCAGTACGCAGAGAAGAGCCAAAATGGAGAATCTGCTCCGGTAGAATCGGTCATAATTTGAAACAATTTGGTCACAACTATGCCTGAGGCTGAGTGCACCAGGAGTGCCAGTGACGCTGCTAAACCCTTAACGTTTGGAAGGAATATTTCACCCATTATTGTGAAGGGCAAAACGCCAAGTGAAAGTGAAAACAGCGAAACGTATGCAACGAGACACGTGATCGGAATCCAATCGACTGTAGATAAATCGACATCTGTTTTGCTCTCCAAGTAGAAGTACAGAGCTAACCCCAGTGTAGACACACCAACCCCGACGGTAGATGAAAGGATAAGGGGTTTGCGACCAACTCGGTCTACCACAGAAGACATGGCTACACTAGCAACTGTTTGGATTCCTCCTGAAATTATAACCGAGATATGCGCATCAATCGAACTTGCAGATCTCTGCAATATCTGCGTCGTGTAAGATACAATTGCCAGTTGACCGCAGAACTGCTGTAACATGACAAGGCTTAGTATCAAAATAAGGGGCCTACGGTTTCCCCTTTTCATGAAAAGATCACGTACAGGAGCTGTTCCCATCTTCAGGGATTCATCCACAATTTTTCTTATTTCTGTTAATTCTTCCTGGACGTGCTGTCTGTCTGTTTTCCCACGCAGGCGCATTAAGGATCTTTCAGCGTCACTCCCCCTACCTTTAAGAAGTAGAAAGTATGGCGATTCAGGCATCCACACCATGACCAGAAGGAACGCAACTGGAAAAACTGCTGATGATATGCCGAGAGTTGTGTATGACACGTAAGGCCCCATGCTGAACTCAAAAAGAGCTCCAATATTGTAAAACAGCTGCACAACAGAACTTAGAATTCCACGAATTTTAACTTCCGAGATCTCAGTCAGATAGATAGGCGTGATGGCAAAGGTGACTGCAACCTCCACACCAATCAGAAAGCGAGCGACATAAAGAGCTTCTACTGAAGCCGTAAAGATAATTATTAGCCAGGCGGCAATGCCGGGAATTGCAGAGAAAATAAGAATACTTTTGCGGCCCATCACGTTACTGAAGTATGCGAGGGGGATCACCCCAGCTACAGAACCCACAGACAACATTGCCACCATCCAGGAGCTCTCGTCTGCAGTCATGGGGATAGGTGAATCTTCAGCCAACAGCTTCGGTATGGTGGGCGCCGTCCATCCTACTCCCAGACCAGTAAGGGTGAAGGCCATTGACGCTGAAGAAGAAAGAAACATGACAGCATACAAGCCATGAGAAATTTAATTATACAGAATTACAGAAATAAAAGAAATGAGGAAAGATAATCAAAAAGAAAGGACGCGTAACAGAGAGAAAGGAAGGTAAGAAAATAAAGGAAGGGCAAGAACGAACACTGAAGAATTCAAATTGGCACTTTTAAATTAGAATAGAATAATACTTTGGCTTCATATTCGATGTTTATTATTATAAACCTACATCTATTTGTTTATTTTGATATCATATTACGGTGTATTCTATCTGTGAATCAAGGTCAAACACTTTTAACAGAGCTCGTTAGTATACTTATTTTTATCATTACTATTCATATCATTATTACAAATTGACTTTAATCTTGTTCAGACAGGACGATAATGAATAGGGTTGTTGTTGGTTCTTACGATGCTGTTAGTACACAGATTATATAGAGCCAAACAGTAGGGTAATTGAATAATGAAAAATTAGAAAAGACTTGGAAGGGAGCAGCCATAGCTTAATCGAGGAACTATTCCGGAATATTCATGAAGAGACTGAGGCAGACCATGACAAATCTTATTTAGGATAACCGGCGTCCCGGCCGCAAATCGAAACGAGCGCCTTCCGAACACAAATCCAAAGGGTCAATGATACGCCAACCCCTTCGAATAAATAATACATTTAACTATTATTGTAATTTTTTTGTATTTTATTATTACTGGTTTACTAATCGAAAAAACTGTTGAATCAGCTTGTTAAACATAGATAACATTATTACTATTACTATTGTCATCAATTTTATTATTTTTGTTGTTTATATTATAATTATTATTATTATGTTACCTAACCAATA